AACATATTGTTTTGGTTTTGCGACTCTCTTGGCATGGGCAACTGATTTTTAGGTTTCTGTTTTTATATATTCTGACGTTTACTTGGTCGTATTTTGTATATATAAAAAAAAAGTAACCACTCAGACACTGACAACAAGTGAGTAAAGGGACCGGGACATAGTCAACATGGGACTCTGAAGGCCCGGAGAAAGCGTCATCTTACAAATTTACAATATCATTCTTCCGAACAATCTGATATTTATGCTGGATAACAAACAAAGTATACAAGTACTGTCTACGATATACTGCAAAATGGAAATAACATCGACAAAACAAAAATACTTCACAGTCACTGTAGCCACACCAGTAAGAAAAAGATACCGTGGAAACTCATTGCAAATGTAAATACAAAATAAATGTCAGTGAATACAATATTTATTAATTTGCAGCCTCCATGGACAAGTTCACAGAAGAATTAATACGTGAAAACACTGGAAATCACACATACAGACACACAAAATTGATTTATCCTAAATTTGTAGGAGACACATTTGGCACGAAGCTATCCAGTTTTTTTGACTGTTACTATGGCAATGGTGTGACCTGCTTGCCAAGTTTAAGGGAAATAGGCCAAGCCAAAACAATCACAGAAGAATTAATACGTGAAAACACTGAAATCACACACACACAGACACACAAAATTGATTTTAAGGGCAATCCTAGCGGAGCGGATCGTCAATAGTGAACAAAAATGTTCGTAAATATTACTGACCGCAAAAGACGCTCATTGCGAAGTGACTTGTGGAATTAATAAAAAATAAATAAAAAAGGGTTCGTGAAAAACATTGCAAAATTGTTATTTCTGCACACAAACCATGATGCTGTAAACCACTTGTAGGAAAGTTTTTGAGAGACAGTTTGGAGGAAGGGGATATTTTATCTGGATTCTTAAAAGAGCGGTGGTCGTTCTGCCACAAATGTGTGAGATTGTGTTGATAAAAGTTTATTTTGCTCTATCCTAGTGGTCAGAATGAGTTTTGATCTGGTTGTGATGTGCACTAAATAACAATTTTGACTGCTAGAGTCCTTTGATGCAATCCAATAATATCAGTAATTACCGAGCTACATTTTGCCTGTGTCACTTATTTTTTAATCTATGATCTGGGCAATAATCAACGTAACCGTCTTTGTTATTATTGGTATTGGACCCATAACACAAAGCGATGCTATGGCAACCAAGACATTGGCTTGAACAGTACAAGGTCATTCATGGTCATATAATAATCCAAGTTTATCTCTATCCCATTGCCATTGTTAACTATATATTACATGTTGAGTACACTATGATTGTAACATAATTGTTTGTTAGGATATTGTTATTTATTGTTATAGACTGACAGGCTAGCACATTGCTATTTTAATAGTGCGCCCTCTATCAGTAGGATATTAAAGTCAAGTTAGAGGGTTCAAAAAAAATATGTTTAAGCAAAACACAAATCATAGCTGATTAAATCGATAACATTGTTCTTCATTGCAGTGATTAATAGTAACGAAGTACGTCAGGTGATGTCCAGTTACTGGATGGATCATTCAAAAGATGCTTCATTGGAAGAAATGATGTTGGACACCCAAGCTGAAAGCCTGGCACAATCTGAACACCCAGAAATACTCTCATTGTTGCCACCATATGAGGGTAAAAGAATAATCGAGTTAGGAGCTGGAATTGGGTAAGCTGAAGTTGTACTTAATAAAGTGTAGCATAATGAGAGAGAATAAATTTTGTGCTTTTTATCAAATTTCCTCAGAAAAAACAAGTGTTGAGTCATAAATGTAACTGTTTGACCTTTATTTCATTTTAGACGATTTACTGGTGTTTTAGCTAAAAAGGCATCGCATGTCACTGCTGTGGATTTTATGGAATCTTTTATCAAAAAGAACAAGGATGCCAACAGTCATCACAAAAATGTTGATTTTAAGCAAGCAGATGTCACGGTATTAAAATGCCCAGAGAAAAGGTAAATAAAGGAAACATGTGGTGATGAAATAATCTATCGTTAGTGAAATGTTTAATAAGATAACCCACATCAATGAGTGATGAATTATTATTACGGCAATTGACCTTTGCATTGTATACTTGCAATGCCACTCTTGAACTATGTCAGGTAAGTCTATGTTGGGCTGGCTTGTGTTTTGGGCTGAAAAACTTACATAGAGATGTCAGCTATAACAGTATAACAATCTTGGAATGGCAGGAGTTTTGTGTAGTACCAATTACATGAAATAGAATAGTACTTTAATGAAATCGTAATGTATTAGGTAAAAATACATACTTTGATAATAAATTTTGACATGGTTAGTCAGTGTTTGTTTTTACCGATACTTGGAGCATATATAATTGTCTTACCTCTTGACTGCATCGATTGATTAACTCTATGGCATTGTATAAAGTACATATTACAGTCTATTAAAGTGCCTGTGCAATGCCCACCCTCACGTTTCCCATTTTAGATCTGTATCCCACTGAAATGGGCAGTTATTGATTTTTTTGCTTAAAATGATTACTCATATCCAAGTAAATTTGGGATATTTCTCGTGTTGTAGCCACGCCCACCTATCCTGAAACGGTCGACTGTTTCCGGATTTCCGACTCTCGCCGAAAGTGCACCACCAAATGCCAAAATGTGAGAGGAAGTCATACCCCTGAGCCATCATAACACAGGTCATTCAGTATACTTTTAAACGATATAAATTTTTCAGTCGGCGTTTTTTTTTTCTTTTTTTTGTCTATTTTCTTTTTTTTTTGAGAGAGAGAGAGAGAGTTTTTAGATGTTGTGTTGTGGGCAGTTGCAGTGAAACGTATAGTCATAGTGTAAGTATTCACTTGTTTCTAATCGATCCGAAGGTGCGACATCAGTGGACGAAAGCCACTTAGCCTCAGATTCCTTTTATGGAAAAACTGTCCTCGTCCATGACAAAAAAACAACTAGGTTTAAAGAGAAACGCCGACAACATAAACTT